GAGAGAGAGAGAGAGAGAGAGAGAGAAAGCAGTATGGGCTGCAGTACTCATGATGCTGCTCTAGAGGGCACTGTAGATCTGTGTGCCTCTCTGTGTGAGTGTGTGTGCGCATGTTTGTGTGTGTGTGAGACCCAGAAAGCATCTCTTCACTATGAAGTTTGAAACTGAAGGCTATTACATGACAGTTTGCAAGAGTTATGAAGCTGTCCTCTTCTGTGTGTGTGTGTGTGTGTGTGTGTGTGTGTGTGTGTGTGTGTGTGTGTGTGTGTGTGTTTGGGAATTTATCTGTAAGTCTTTAGTCTGTTTGCTCTTCCGTGTTTTCCGAGCGGATCTTCAGCCAGAGACTGTGTGTGTGTGTGTGTGTGTGTGTGTGTGTGTGTGTGTGTGTGTGTGTGTGTGTGTGTGAGTGTGTGAGTGTGTGAGTGTGTGTGTGTGTGTGTGTGTGTGTGTGTGTGTGTGCAGATCTGGGCTGATTTCAGAGCAGACTCATCAGTATTCTGCAGTGGTGTGTGTCTGAGAGTGTTTTAGGCCTAATATCACACACTTATCACAGCTTTTAAAGCAGGCTTTTATGTCCTGATATATTTGATTAATTCAGACACTGCATTAGACTGAAGTGCACCGAGAGATTGAACACACACACACACACACACCTGTGGCAGATTGGTGAAAAACTCTTGTTGAATATGGTTTTGAAGTGTTTTGGATTACAGGGACATCAGGCATGAAGCATAACAGCCGCTGCATCATAATAATAATAAATAAATAAATATAATATTTATATATTTTTTTAATAAATGAACTCTTTTGTTTATCAAAGATGCATTGTGTGTGTTGGTTTGTACTGGATTTGGTGGTTTACGAGGACAAAAATGTGTGTACCGGCATGTGTTCCTCTGTTCATCAGGGGATAATCTTACACACACTTGACGTTTATAAACGTGATATTACAGGAAATCTCCTCATTTTCAGCTCACTGCAGGTAACCGCTGTGCTTCACTGTTGTTGAGTTCTTTCAGTGTAAAATGCTGCTCTTACTCTGAGCTTCTGTCTTGTTTTAATCTGAATATCTGAGAACTCTGAAATCAGTCGGCATTTTCCAGACGAGCAGAACATATAGTGTTGCTTTCAGACACGGCGAGTCAAAATGAAGAGAGTTTCTCAATAAACAAGCAGAATAATCTGCAATATTATATTTTGACTCATTATTCCTGATGTAGGGATATTTTACAGTTTGAACCCAAACGTGAGCAGTCTGTCAGGAGAAGAAGAGCGGGAGGTAAATAAAGGAAGTGTACTGTCAGTGCCAATAGCCTAGTGGTGAAGTGTGCAGACATACAGCACCATGGTGCTCACGGAGACCCGAGTTCGATTCCCGACTCGAAGTCCTTTACTGATGCTTCCCCTCTCTCTGCTCACAAAACCTTCCTGTCTGCAACCTCTACTGTCCTCTTCAAATAAAGGTGAAACCCTCCCTAAATAATCATTATTAAACAAGGGAAGTGCCCTGAAGACAGCAGAAGCCAGCTTCAACACTCCATAATGAGTCTGTAGGCTTACAATCTCAAAACATCAACACTTACACTCGCATAACACCAATTACTGTGTCCTTTCACTTCCATTCACTTTAGACATCATTACCACAGCAAATAACAACAGCAACAGTTTCCTCCAATCCTTCAAGAGTCCAGACCTCCATCACCTCTGACCTGACTGTGTAGACCATGA